CTGTCTTTCCAGTGTTGATAGACCAAGTGCCTTAAAGACACTGTGAATTTCACTCCAGATGTATCCTTTCCAGATTAAAGACTCCATAACTCAGAAGACTACGGGTTTGATGCGAATGCAGTTCTGGAGGGAGGCTGTGGAAGATATATACTGTGATAACCCACCACATCAGCCAGTTGCTACAGAACTGTGGAGGGTAAAATATACCTTTATTGTCCTAAGATTCACTTAAGTAAAATGTTACTGTGGGGAATAATGTCATTCTTTCGTGTGTGCTGTGTTGCACAGTTAACAGCATTATTTTATATGAAACAGATAATGTAAATTGTGTTTGTGTGTGATGGAGCTGGTGCTGGAGCTTGTCCAAAGAAGGGCAATGAAGCTGGTGAAGGATGTAGAGCAACAAGTCTTATGAGGAGCAGCTGAGGGAACTGGGGTTGTTTAGCCTGGAGAACAGGAGGCAGAGGGGAGACCTTATTGCTCTCTACAACTACCTGAAAGGAGGTTGTAATGAGGTGGGTGTTGGTCTCTTCTCCCAAGTAACAAGCAATAGGACAAGAGGAAACGGCCTCAAGTTATGCTAGGGGAGGTTTAGGTTGGATATTAGGGAAAATGTCTTCACCAAAAGGGCTGTCAATCATTGGAACAGGCTGCCCAGGGAAGTGGTGGAGTCACCACCCCTGGAGGTATTTAAAAAGCCATGTAGATGTGGTGCTTAGGGACCTGGTTTAGTGGTTGGACTTGGCAGTGCTGGGTTAACAGTTGGACTTGATGATCTTAAAGGGCTTTTCCAACCAAAATGATTCTATAATTCTATGTTTTCAGTTACCTACAACCAAAGAGCAGAGTGGGAGAAGGGAGGATAGTTGGGACCTACTTGGAGGGTTAAAATCTGCTTTTTTCTTTTCTGTTTCGGTGAAGGACAGAGTAAATTGTAGCAAGCTGTAAGTTGATAGCAAGTGAAGTGCATAAGTATTCTTCCGTGAGCCAGTGCTAGTCCTACCTGAAGAGATTAAGCTGTACAAAAAGACAGGAGACTAAGCATAGAGGTTAAACTAGTAAATAGGATATGAGGAAAAGCCAGAGACCTTCAGACCTAGTTACTGGATAATAGGAAGAATCTTAATACAGTCTTCTCCTTGCATCAAGAGTTGCTTGATGACTTCTATTTATGCATTATGTTTTGCACAGATCCTTTTGTGTGCATTGAGTAACAGGGAATATACTTGTGAACTTACCAGTTTATTTTTACCAAGATGCCTCAGTTCTGCTGGCACTAGAACATCACACATAAAGTACACCTACAGATCTGTTCCTCTGCTGCTGATGGCCAGAGAAACAGACTTTCTTGCAAAATTTTTTTGTTTCTAGTTAGGACTGTCATTGATCTGTTTGGTGGATGATTGAAGGTCTGAAGGCAGTGTAAATGGATTTTCACTTGATGCTGATACAGAACCACATAATAATTCAATTGATAGGGATCTCTGGTTGTTTCCTAGTCCAACTTGCCACTTGAAGGACTAATGTCAAAGTTAAGATTAGGTTGTCAGGGTCACATCAAGTTGAGTTTTTAATTTCTTCAGGGATGGAAATTCCATATGTTGCTAACTTGTCATCTTAGGGCCATGGACCACAGCAAGTCTTAGAACCTTCCAAAAAGAGCAGCTACCGTAAGGCCTCTAGTCTGTAAGATAAGAACTTGCACTTAAACTAAAGATCTCTGAGCTCCTGGACAGGAAAAGCTGCAGTTTGTCTAGATCTCAATAGCTGAACACAGTAAACATAGATCCCATAGGTAGTTAGGTTTATGGACCTGCTGAAAAACAGTCAGTAAAACGTGGAGTCCTCATCCAAGTATTCATCTGCATTGTTCCTGTTAAAAGCCCGGAAAAAAGCAGGATGCATTGGGTTAGAACAATGCAGTTCCTGCGGGATTAGAGTATTTCACTCGTTGCCATTCACATCCACTCTGCTGCACCTCTGAGACCACAAAAATGAGTCCTTTCCAAATCCTCTTTCAATGATTTTTGGCAGTGCTGAAACTGTGGCCTCTCCCTGACTCTTCCTCCTTCATATGTGAAATAAAGCATAAGCGAGCATTTGTTCCTGTCTATCAACGCTCGTGTTTAGATTAAAATTGGGATTTAAAGGAGATACAGTTTGTTTAACTAAGAGGAAACATAGGTAAAGCCAAGAAATAAAATAAAATAAAAACACCTGTTACAGTCACTTTTAGGAGGACCAGAGCTCTTCATAGGTGTCTCCAGCTCAGATAAAGTGTGTGCCTTAGCCACAACAAAGCGTTCGTACAGTTAGAATGAAGACTGGCAAAGGCTGTGAGCCTTTTTATGGGATTGTGGGAGTTGAAGATGTGCCTAGGATGATATTTTAATGCAGACATTGAAATGCAGAATTGGTCCTTTTGCATGTCAACCTGTCTGCGCCTTTGCTTTTTATTTCTTTCTTTCTGTCTCTCTTCCAGTATATGGCAAACTTCCCAGGAACAAGATCGTTTTCTGCCCAAATGCTTTTGTCTCCTTTCCAAGGAGGAACTTGCTTTAGTGTAGTTTGACTTATCTTTGTTTCTGAAGATATCCTCCCATTTAGTTGTCTGAGTGGGTTAGGTCCAAGTTAGTTTTGGGTATGATTGTATATATTCTGTTCTTTTGACTGCTTTTAATTTCAGGCTGCTTATGTGTGTATTAATGCCCGGCAAAAATGTTTATTACCAGAAGAGTAACTTATAAAAAACTCTGAAACATTGTCATGGTTTAACCCCAGCTGGCAACTAAGCACCACACAGCTGCTTGCTCACTCCCCCCATCTGTGGTGGGATGAGGCAGAGAATCAGAAGGATAAAAAACTGGTGGGTTGAGATAAAAAACAGTTTCATAATTAATAATAATAATAATAATGAAATTTGTAAGGAAAAGAGGAAACAAGAAATAGAGAAAAATAAAACCCAAGAAAGACAAGCGATGCAAATGAACACAATTGCTCACCACCAACCAACCAATGTCCAACCAGTCCCTGAGCAGCAGCTCCCCCCCCAGGCCAACCTTCCCCCTAGTTTTATTGTTGAGCATGATGTCATATGGTATGGAATATCCTTTGGTCAGTTGAGGTCAGCTGTCCTAACTGTGTCCGCTCCCAACTTTTCGTGCACCTCCAACCTACTCAGTGGCAGGGCCGGGTGAGGGGCAGGGAGGCCTTGATGCCACCATGGAAGCACTGCTTCACAGTAACTAAAACATCTGTGTGTTATCAACACTGTTTTCAGCACAAATCCAAAACATGGGCCCATACAAGCTGCTGTGAAGAAATTGAACTCTATCCCAGCCAAAACCAGTACAATATTCAGATGTAAATTATTCAGATACTGAGATATCAATTGCAACCCTTTCCAACAGCTAAGACTGCTGGTCATACTCCTTTCTCACAAACAGAAAGTTGGTTATGAAGTGGAAGAAAGAATTGACCTATCTCTGTGTAAGATTTTACCTTACATATGATTTCTCTAAAGGAAGACCCATATAAGACAATCCAAACAGAACTGGTTGTGAAATAAGATGCTGAAAAAATAATTCCGGAAGTATTTCCAGGAGCTCTTATAGCTCTGAACGCTGCAGAGCGCTGGAGCAAACTAACAATCCAACCTGACCTGGTGACTTTTGCACTCAAGATGTTATTTTATTTCTACATTTCAGCATATAGCCCAAGAATGACCTATTTGAAGAGCACAGCTTCACAAATGTCCAGGAATGTCACTGCAATTCTTAGAAAGAAGGATTTGGAAAGTTTTGCACAGTACACAGTTTTTCTGTATACTCTTTTCTTGATCTTGAGTTTGTATGAGGACAATTTTCATTTTCAAGAAGAAATACTAATTTATCATGTTAAATGTGTTCCTGAAGTTTTGTATATCCCAGAATACTGAAATTTGGATTCCATGAGTTTTGTGCACTAGTAAAGTATATAAATAGCCTTTAATAGTATTTCTAGAATTATTAATAGCTCAGCTCTCAGTGACTAATATAAACTTACATGGCAGCTGTATGATATTTGGTTTTACTTACCTGTCCATTTTGAACATATGAAAAATGAGGCCTCTCCATTTCTGTGGAAGAAGCCAGTTTTCAAAACTTCTGAAAAATGGGGACCTGTGTGTTTGAAGGAAGGTAGCTCAAAATGGATGTAATGTACAAATTGGATAATTTAGCACAACTCAGTTTGGTGCTTTGAGTCTTGACCTGTGACTATTTCAAGGATTTCATTTACAAAATGATACTCAAGATGAACAAGAGAGAAGCAAAACAGACATTTGTAGTTGTAACTTAAAATTTGCGTTTTCACATACCAAGTACTTCCTCAAGCAGATTTTGTTGAATCAACAAGAAGATCTAGTCTTGTCAAACCTTGAAAAAAATATTTACAAATATAATGGATGTAAAAAAGAGACTGAAAAAAAGGCTAAGATTGTGAGAAATCTGCTCCATACATTTTGTTTATAAATATTTATGTGTGTTTGTAGCTTTTTTGACAATGTGATCTGCAAAATTCAGTGTGTGTAAGTAAGTGGATTGAAGGTAAGTTGATAGAATGGTACAGGAAGGAAGTCAAATACAAGATAAGAGTCAAAGGAAGAATGTGTGAATGAGATGCTGTGGGATACTTTTTTAAACAAAACCATAATAGGATGCTGTGTTTACAGTACGTATTGGTATGTTGTACTGATGTTTTCTTGAAAATTTACAGGGGAAATCTTTTTATTGTTTGACTCCGGAGGAAAATGTGTTCTCTTTGGAAAGTCAGCATAGTGATCTGCAAATATTTTGTGGGAGCGTATGGCTCCATGAAAGAATAAATTACTTTCAAAAATATTTTTAAAGAAATGCTTTTAGTTAACTGGCTTGACATCCAAGATTTCATTTCTTGTGTGCAACAACTTGTAAAAAATGCCAGTTGAAAATTTTTGTGTTTCAAGAAGATTCTCATTTTCCACTGACATGCCACTTTTGATTTAACCCAGTGAATACAATCCCTGTAAGAAAAGGATTATCTAAAATATATTTTAGCCTTCAGAATGCAGAAGTACTATCACTTTGTATACATTGACATGGATGTTTTATTTCATAATTTTCAGGCTGTCAAGAGGCACAACTTGACTAAAATGTGGTTCATGAAGATCATTGATGAAAGAGTAAGTATTTACGATTCAAAGTCTGATTCTGTTTTTCATTATATTTGGTCGTCCCCCCGTCCCCGTCCCCCCCTTCTTTTTATGTGTTTGTGTGTAAAACAAAAGCTTTTCTGGACAGTAGTATTTCTCTTTAAGAATGGTACTGCTGTATTTCCTTTTAATTCTCCCTTGATGCCCCTACTCGTAATTTCTGCTCTTTCTGGCCAAAATGGCTAATAGAATCCTTTGTTTATTTTTGCTTTAAAATAGATACAGTTTGTGAGTGCACATCTTTCTTGTTCCCTGCTCTGATAATCAGTGTATCTGTGTTCGTGTTTTCTGTTGCCTGTCTCTGTTCCTGCTTTAAAGTGGTTACCCCTAGAGGCAGTCCATTGGGAGTTACACTTAGATACCTTTTTGTATGTAATGAGGGATGTTCCATCATATGGGATTAAGTATTAACGTCTCCATATGCAACTGTTAAGAATTCTGGAAAACTACATGTTAATAGAAATGGAAATGAAGATGTGCAAGAAGAGAAACTCGTACATGGTCTCTTTTTGTGCCACTGCAATCCTGCCCCAAGAGAAAGGACATCTTCCATATTGCAAAAGGTTGCACAAATCTACATCATTGGCATCATCTTATTCCTGCTCACCTCTTTTCTTACCTTGTCAATTTTGCCCCTAAATAGGCTTCTCTTGTAATAAGTCATGGATCTAAAATCTGAAGAATTAAATGGCCCATGCGAACCTTTCTGTTACACTTTGCTACTTCTCCTTATGATGGCTGTGGAGGTTTTTTTCTAAGCAGTGCTGTAAATTGGAGCATTCCCCTTTTTCTGGGGAAAAAACAAGAGGAAGAATTTCACTGGTGCAGTGGTGCTGCCACCAACTCTGACACAAGGGCAAAAATGAACAGCTGAGGGCAGGAATTTCTTACGCTAGCTTTGCTGCTAGAGTTGATGTCTTGTAAAGTTAGACCTTGAAAAAATTGATTGTCAGTTACTTGCGGAGTGTCATTGCTATGAAAGATTTCAGACCTTTTTAAATCTTCAGACTGGTTTTTAATCTTAAGACTGGTATGCTTTAACCACAAAAGCCCCTAGGGACAGGAAGAATGATGGAGGGTGTTACATTTTTTGGGAATTTGCATATGACTTTGAAACTTATATGTGTATTTGATGGATTGATTTTTGTTTATGTTTTAAAAATTACATTCCTATTTATCTAAATTTCTCTGTGCCTCAGATGCAAATTAAGTATTAAAATTGGCAACCCTGTAGTTTAAGAATACCATATGATGTTTTGGTTTGGCTGTATTTTTTATGAAGAATTCAAATTTCTTATTATTGCAGAAGGTTATTTTTGCTCCAGCTTGGCTGCAGTTGCATGTTGTTATTTGGTGAAATTACACTTGCTATAAGCTTTAATGACTACTTCTATCTGAGTTTATACTCTTTCTATCTCTTAATTTTGTCCTTTTTTTTTTTTTTTCTAATAGTGGATTAGGCTGACCTGGCTGTAGTAATAAACTTGCACAAACAGCAGTTATATTTACATTTTACTGAAGTTCTGTGTTCATATAACAGGAGAAGAATTTGGATGATAGAGCGTACCGTAACATCCAGGAGCTTGAAACGTATGCTGAGAACACTCAGAGTGCTCTCTTGTACCTCACCTTGGAAATGCTGGGTAGGTGTTTTCCCCTTTTTAGATTTTGTTGATGACTCATTAGTGCAGGTACAATATTTATTAATGTTTCAAAAAACTCACTCTTTTTGCACTGGAGTTTAATTTCAGTAAAAGTTGTCTTAGGTAATACTTCAGATATCTTTTGAACCCTCAACCATAAATTTGGAATCTTAATGCACCTGTCCTAGAACTACATACTTTCCTTAGAAGCTGCTCAGTGGAAAGCTCATGGAAGTGTGGTTTCCTACTGCTCTTTTCTGTGTGGCTTAACACTTTTTTTCTTGCTCCTGTTACAGTGTGTGGTAAATTCAGCTCTTCACCGTGTTTTCCGATTGTCCCACTTAGAATCATAGAATCTTAAGGCTGGAAAAGACCTCTAAGATCATCAAGTCCAACCGTCGACCCAACACCACCATGTCTACTAAACCATGTCCTGAAGTGCCACACCTACACGTTTTTTGAACATGTGCAGGGATGGTGACTCCACCACCTCTCTGGGCAGCGTGTTCCAATGCCTGACCACTCTTTCGGTGAAGAAATTTTTCCTAATATGCAATCTAAACCTCCCCTGACACAACTTGAGACCATTTCCTCTTGTCCTTTCCCTAGTTACTTGGGAGAAGAGACCAACACCCACCTCGTTATGACCTCCTTTCAGGTAGTTGTAGAGAGCAATAAGGTCTCCCCTCAGCCTCCTCTTCTCCAGGCTAAACAACCCCAGTTCCCTTAGCCGCTCTTCATAAGACTTGTGCTCCAGAACTTGTCAGAACACAAAGTGCTGTAGTCATTCTGCAGCTGTTGTTCTATATTGCAGTGATGTACACTGGTTATCTTGAAACAGGTGACTTGCCAACCTATAAAATTCCCTTGGTCATGTTGTAAATTTGGGTCCAAATCCTCTCCCCTTCTTAAAAGTAGGTTAAATATCAATAATTGAACAGCTAGAAGAATTGCAACAAAGATAATAGGATCCTTGTGGTTAAGAGCTAGTATCTGTGTCATGTCTAATATGAGAGTCACAGATTGGGAAAGAACTCTTTGTTTGCAGTGAAGAAAAGGATGACTTTCTTCTAGGTATCTGTTGCATTATGGAAGTGTTCCCTATATGAGCTCCAATGTAAACGAAGAGTGATATTATTTGATAATATTTAGTATTATAGTAGCAATATTTTCCTTTTGCTTATCGGAGTAGTCTGATGGAAGGCCAATGCTGAGGTTAAGAGTTTAAAAAGTAAAGAGAGAGATATGGTGAGCGAATTCTTAGGAAGAAATGAGGAACCTGTCTCTTAACATCTGATGTTCTCTTCCTCAGTAGGAAATCAGTGAAATGTTGCAAGTGTCTTTCTGAACTTCTGACTGAAGAAATGTAGAAGTATGAGAAATATCAGCGTCTTCCATTCTGAGAAATGTCTTCGATCCTGAAGAAGTTCTGTCATGCTTGGGTCACTCCTGATACAAGTCAGATGATCCTCCTCTTGAAAATCTGTTATGAGGGCTCTGGATTTTCTAGGTGCCCTGTTGTCGTGTTTATCTTCCCTTAAATATACCAATGTAACAAAATATCTAAGCAAAAGTCTCCTTCACTGCATATTAAACAGTTAACTTCTGCAGGGTTTTTTTCCATAAATGGAGAAAATAATTGAACACAGGTCTTTTCTTGGTGTTTCCCATCAGCAGTCTTTTCTAGATGAAGGGGACCTGGTTTCATTATAGGCCATGTTTGCCAAATTTCTTGTGCTTTTTAGCTTCTTTATTCCTGACCTGTCTCCAGTTTGTGTGTATCTCTCCCAGTAGTAGTGCTGCTTTATTCTTACTGATTTTGGGTCACTTCTTTTGTCAAGCGCATTTTAACCGGTAATCTTGTTATCCAAAATCCTGGTACTTCCTCCCAGGTCCTGTCATTTAAAAATATTAATATTGTGCTCTGATTCATTGCCTAAGTAGTTAGGAATCTGGTACTACTCGAGAATTTTGTTAAACCTTCTCAGAACCTCATTTTTGGGATGTATTCCCAGGTTGAGCATGAGTCACTGCTAACTCAAGCTTTTTTTTTTTTTTTTTTTAATTCCTAGTTATATGTAAAGCCTGAGCTGCCCGGACAGTATCAATAAGTTATATCTATTGCTTACTCCAAGCCACATTGCTTTCCGCTGCCATTGCCAAAATAAGTCCGTGTAGTCTACCTATAGTCACTGTTTCGCAAAGGCTTCTGAGACCCACGCAAGGCTGAGGCAGGCTTGGGCAGTGAATCTGGCATGCCCAGTATAATTTTCAGATGTCAGTTAGGCTCTTGGTCTGTAATTCCTGTATCCTCATTTCTTTCTTTGTAGAATGCTGCTTCTCTTAGAGTTTTTGTGAATTTAATTTCAGTTCCTTTAAATTTTCATTTTATCCCAGGTCAGTCCTCTGAAAACATTATGGCTTTATGATCAGTCTAAGCCACTCTTGCATGGTCTTGCCATGAGGAGCAATGGTGCTGCTCTGCCCCACTCATCTCCCTCTTCTTCCAGTTCTCACAGTTGTGTGACCATGTAGTAACTAAAGTTAGTTTTCCATTGCTTTGGTGATCTGATTCAATTTGCCATTCTACTGCCTCATTGCCCATGACAGCACAAGGGAGGTGGCAGAAATAACAGATTCGCAGAGGGGGGAAGCATAGGATCATTCTCTCTGGCTTCAGTACACTGCTGAATCAGCTGCAGCTATCATGAAACCTCGCTGTAAGCATTAATGCTTGTCAGGAATCTCACACTTGAATGACTTTTTCTGGCAAGAAAAACAGTTCTTGGAATCCTGTTATCCTGGGAGAGAACATGCCAATGAAAATGAGTTTGTGTACTGATGTATTATATCTGAATAGGTGCCACTCTGCTAAGTATACCCTTTGCAGAAACTGCAACAAGCTAAGAGGCATCTTGCTCCTGAATGTGAAAATCAATGAATTTGCCTGCCACTTTGCACCTCTGAGATGAGATCTCAAGGCAATTTATGAACATAGACAGCCTTGTCATGGACCAATGCACTTAGCTTTCCTTAAATATGACTCTGATATGCATCAGGGAAGACTATACCTCTCAGAAGGCCTGCCAATATGTTTCTAAACATATTATTTCTGCAATTTTAGGTGTGAGGGACATCCATGCTGACCATGCAGCCAGTCACATTGGGAAAGCGCAAGGCATAGTTACCTGCTTAAGAGCAACTCCCTATCACAGTACAAGACAAAAGGTCTTTCTTCCCATGGACATTTGTATGTTGGTAAGACAAACAAGTTATCTGGAATTGAACAGTATAGGGTTTCTAACTGTGTCTCTCAACGCTACATATTAGATCATAATTTATTAGGCCAGAAACAGAACACCTTTTTTCTTTAACTCTTTCTGATATGGCCTAGTAATATGCCATTGTCATGGTTTTATGTCTTGTGGGAGGTAAGAGGAGTCACCTTCGTGAAACTCCAGGATTTCTGGTTTGGTTTTTCTTTTTATTCTTTTAATTAAATGTAGTAGTATGTTAGCTTTCAGGAGTTTTTCCATTAATATGCAGTAATACACATGTGGAATGGGGCTTGGGTTTTGGGGGATTTTTTTTTTTTTTTCTTTTCCTACCCCCATGAAGGAAGCACTGTGAAAAATTTTACTTCTCAACAACATTCTCGGGTTTCTCTTTACTACCTTTTCATAAATGTGCTAGTGGTTTTGGCTTTTTGGATTTTTGGGTGGTGGGGGGTTTTTTTGTTATATATTTGATAGATATAAGCATACATTCCATACATTGCTGTAGGAGATGGTATAGTCCTCCAATTTAAACTGTACACCTAATTTGCACTGGAATTTAGCAGATCTTGCAATTTGGATAAGATGGGATTAAAGCTTGAATTTTTTCATTAATGTTCTCTGGCTAGATCTGTAGGCATCGCAGCTGTTATTTCTTCATCTCCAGTCTTTATTTTTAAATGTTAATGCTGTTCTTTTTATACTTTAAACAAAATTTATGTAATTATGGTGATGCTTAAGGCAGTTGTGTTAGTATTTTCTGAATATAATTTCAATACAATTGAAAGTTTTGATTTGAAGTTTAGTAATTTAGGCAGTTGCAAAAACCGCAGATACTAATATAGGCAAGGGTTATAAGACTGCAGAAAGGAGCTGCTCCCCGCTTTCAGCCCTTCTGGGACTGGATTGTATGGGAGGCCTTCCAAGTTTTTAGCTTTTCAAACATAGCCTGAAAATTCACAGTCATTCCTTGCCACGGAAGGTGTTTTACAATGAAACTGTAAAAACAGCTTGCATCCCTTCTGTGCAGACTGAGCATCTCGTAAGCATTTCGGCTGCTGGCAAGTATCACAGAGTTCTAGTGATCTCCTGTGATGTCTGTCTACCTGCCTGCCTTTATACAGCTTTCACGTGCCTGAGTGTTGTTGAGAACAACGGGCAACTGGTGCAATTCTGAATATACCATATTATGTCTTCCATTGGTCACTATAGTGAAAGAATAAGTTTGGGGTTTTTTTTGGGGGGGGCGGCGTTTATTCTGTTGGGTTTGGTTTTTTGGTTTGTTTTTGTGGGGTGGGTTTGTTTGGGTTTTTTGGTTTTGTTTGGTTTATTTGCAAGCCTGGTGGTGCACACCAATTGCAAGATAATGACCTACTTCATAAACCAGCATGGCATCTGTGTTAGTTGTTACTGTCTTCTGCTTAACGTTGATTCTTGGATTATGGTTTTAAAAATTGGGCATCTAAACTGATCTAAATTCCCAAAACTTTAAAATCAGACTTGGTTATCTGACTGACCACAAAGTCTTTAGAGAGGAAACTCATGCAGAGAGAGTCTGTACCAACTGTTCTCTTTGTTCTCTTGATTTTTTTTTTTTCCAAATGATTGACAAAAAGGGAAATAAAAAAGGAGGCGGCAGTGGTAAAACATTTAGGCTGTTTCAATCTTGTGTCATTAGTTTGGTTGCTGGGACAGGTTTTTGAGAAGCTAAAATGGAAACGATATTTATTGAGGGTTTTTTCTCTGTGATTTTTTTTTTTTTTCCTTCCTATGTCTAGCATGGAGTTTCACAAGAGGATTTCATAAGAGGCAAGCAAGAGAAAAATGTGAGAGACGTAATTTATGACATTGCCAGCCAGGCCCATATTCATCTAGAACATGTGAGACTCTTAAAAATTATTTATTTAAATAAACATAATTGATGCTAATCTTCGCAAAGCATTGTGCATATGTGTTGTTAGAAGACTTACAGCTGCATACTTAATTTTAAGTATTTTACCTTTAATTACTTCGAGTGTTTAAATTAAAAACAAAAAACATTGAAAAACCACCACACAAAACCTTTAAATATTACAACTACTTCTGTACGAATATTATATTTATCTGTATGTACAGGAGGCAATTTAATCACAGCCAGGTCCAATTGCATATATATATAAATACTGCCTAAAAGCTTTATTACTGGAAGAGAAACTTCAAGCAGACTTTTACAAATGCAACTACATGCCAGCATGGGATCAGCACCATAGAAAGCATTTCTGCATATGGCATTTCACAGCCCGGTGGAATGGCTGCCAGGAAAGGAGAGCACGTTGCCTTTAACTGCTGGTTAGTCTGTGTGGGAGGGGGAGATTCATTCCCTAACATGACCAGCCATACTCAAAGCTATGTTGGGAAAAGTGCTTTCTGTTTATTTCTTTCCTGGCTCACAGCCAAGTGAATTAGGAGAGACTTTATTTGCTTGGAACAGTCGATAATGAATCCCGAAGAACTGCAGAGTCCTATTCTATTTTTATTTTATGCTCTTATTTTAGCTACACTCTGAATTGCTTGTTGGTACATAATACAAAAGCAAAAGAATGTTTCATCAGCAATGCTGTGTCTGCCTTTATCTGGAAAACAAAACTTGCAAGAAGCACTGTGAAGGGTTTCTTATGTCTGCAAGAATACGTACGCATATACTTTGAGTATTGCACCCAATAATTCCAATCAAGGTAGTCTGAAAAGATAACCACTTCAAACTAAATGCAGAGACAAATCTGGTATTTCTTTACACCATTAATATAATCCTCAATTACGGTGTTACCTATGATCACAGCGTTTTATGCAATAGAGGTAGAAGAGCCCTTCTTCATTTTTCTGAAGGTAAAATGAGGCATCCCTGGTTTGTCCAGTCAGTGGTTAGTTAGTTGATTAATGGCGGGGTTTTTTGTTAATAATATGTAGCCTTGGGCTTTATTTTTGATACAGACTACTTATAATTTGCATTTAATGCATTCCTGTTCATGTTGTTTCACCTGATGTCTCAGTTTTTGTTGTCACATGCCCAAGGAAACTGCTTATTCCATTTAGAAGCAGAGAACAAAGAAAATGCAAGGTCTAAACTGTCCACTCCCTTTGTTCAAGCTGAAATATTTTGATTTTTTTTTTTATTCCCTACCCCTCAACCCATAATGCACAGTGTATAAATCCAGATGACTTTGGTTGCAGCTGTGGCTTTCAAAAATGCCAAGTGCCATGCCTGAAATGCCTCATATCAGGGATGGGAGGCATGGAAAAAGAGCAATATGTATTTATTGTCCAGCTGTTTAAAATTTGGTTGCTGGTATTGCATGGAAACTTTGGGACAGAAGCAGGGAGAGAATTCAGTTCTTCGGATCCTTTCAGATAATTTGATAATTCCAAGCGTGTTGATCCCTTGGCTCCCAACGTGCCAACCAGCTTCTGAAGAGAACAGGCAGAACCTTACCACCCCTTCCTTCCCACTCCGTTCCTAGAGCCCTGCCAATGTTATGCACTGGAAGGGTCCTATGGAAAATACGCAATGTGATCATGTACTTGGAGACTATTCAGAAAAGTATAAACACAAGGAAACCAGATCAGGGCAGCATTAGCATTTTATTCAGTTGAACGTTGATCTTGGCAGTCTCCCTATCCACTCTTTTTTTTTTTTTTTTTTAATGGATGGGTTATCATCAGCTTAATTAAAATAAAAAAGTTCCTCTTTGAATGCTTGTTTCCAGCTTCCATCATCAGTGAAGAATAATTGGCAGTGCAGGTTCTCTAGAGTGTTCAACTCACTTGAACTGGTAATAACTGGCAGTAATAGCAGGGTATTAGCCTCCTTGATAATCAGATGGTCTTTGTTAATGCAAGGATAAAGATACTTTCTCCCCTAATGGATGAAATGGGCTTTTGCTGGCAACATTTGCTGCGTATTTCAAGACTTTAGGTGAACGTAATGGGCTGATGCCTTTAAACGCATCATGTTCTGTATAAAATCGCCCTCTTGTTTTGCCTGAGGGTCTTTTCAGCCACTTACCCTCTGTCTTAGTTGGAATTACAGGGTAGGGTAAAGTTTAAACCTGCAGAGAGGCTTCAGCAATCTCAGTATTTGTTACACAAACCACATATTTTGAAGGATGAGGATAACAGTTACCAGCCCCATTTCACAGTCAGAAGAAATATAATCCTTAAATGCTAAATTAAGGATTAATGATATTACATGAAGCATATTGTAGTAATGTGGCACTTAATCTTGGAAGAAAAGTTTCTGAATTGTGGTCAGCTCTTCCTGATGCTGCAACTGATGACCAGCAGAGGGCAAAATAAGGTAATGAAGATTGCAGTTTTCTTTAGGAATTGTGTATTTTATTAGAACAAAAGCATATAATAAAAGTGGTCTGCCAGTCCCACAGTGATCCTTTTGAAAGCTTGTGAATACATTTACATGTTCCCCCTCTTTCTCTTAAGCACTCCCTCTCCCATTCCTCTTTAAAAAGAAGGTTTCCTTTTGGCTTTTTGCATTTATCTCAATTATGCTAGATCATTATGGACTCAATCTACCAAGGAAGATAACATGCTTTCTACATGACATGCAACCCATTCTGGGTTAAGAAGGTCAAGCAAGGTTACTTTCTTTTTTTATCTCACAATTAATAATAGTAAAGCAGAGCATTAGATCAGGGAAGAGCATTTTCATTTTTTTATATATATATATACACACACGCGCGTGCATTCACACCCTCTCTCACTCTGCTACATCTTAAAGTTTTAAAATAATTTGCCCTCTGAAAAGATTCAGGAGAAGATTCAGTATTTTTCCCTACTAAAGTTTCAGCCTGATTTTCTCAGTTGTCTGGAAACATCCATGGAAAACGACCAGAAACTCATTCATACTCATCAGTATTCATAAAGGGTTGGTTGGGTTTTTTTAACATGTAAGAAAAGACAAAACAAGGAGGGATTTTGTATTTATAAATAAGCATTACAGGAAGATTTGCTTCAGCTCTGTTACATGTACCTGAGTTGTGCATGGGTTTAAATTGTAGACTTGATTCAGCCATGGTTTAGACTCTGTTTATACATTGATACTGAGGACCTGAGGCATTGAGATCCTTTCAGAGTCTCATAAATGTAAATGGAGCATAACTGGGCTTCTGGGAATGATGGGAACACTGGACCAAAAAGATGCACTCAGAGAAATGCATTTCTGGTCTTCCATTATTTCTGTCTCTTGGGAAGAGTTATTTGGCAGGGGGAAAAAAGTGTTAAACCATATTTATTAAATCAGATGCAACTTGGAACTTTGTCAGAACAAGGGATGCTAATTTACATTGGTTTATTATACGTAAACTGTAAGGTTGTCAAAACATAGAATTTTAGCAGGCCTCTCCCAGTATTACGTACTTTCTGTGTAATTTTGTGTACAAGGAGGGATGATGCTAGCTTGAACATAATGAAAAATTACAGTTTCAGAATGTCAAAATAAAAAGGAATGAAGTTTGTAATACAGTCTGTTGGCTCTAACCATTATATATAGTACTTGATGTTTAATCTGAAATGGTAAATTCTCCTGATAAGCACATTTGTTTTTTGTGATTTTCTTTTTTTTCTCCCACCTTACCCCATTTACTTTCAGGCTAGATCTTTCAGTAAGAAAGTTCCTGTGAAGGCATACCCTGCTTTTTTCTGTACGGTGGGTGTGATATCATGCAATCTTTAAGTGATGGACTCATTTCTGTGCTAATATGTTTGTGAAGAGTATCAAATTAAGCATGGTTAACTAATGCTTCATGTGTCTATTTTGGGAGGATGTAATACCTAAAACTTGTGAAAATCATACTGTGTGCCTCACTGTGGAACCTCATAGTTTTGATGAACACTTCTAATCCTTCTTCTTCAACTACCTCATTTCGCCCAAGATGTCTGTATATTCATAGACCATTGTTCCAAGGGCCCAAAATCTTGTCTATTTTTATAAGTTGCTGTTTGGTCTAGTAGAAGATAATGCTTCTCTTCACAAAACCTGCCTTTTTTGTATCCTTTGAATGTGGTGGTTACGCTGCCAGTTAGTAAAACAGGCAAATTCTCAAGCCTTTTTGTGGTTCTTCATTTGGTTTCATGTATTGCTTTTTAAACTTAATGCCCAATTATTTATATGCACTATATGGACTAAGCTTTTTTCCTTCTTTTCTAGGTTGCTTTAGATGATTATTTATGTAATATGCGAAAAGTGGACTTCAATATATTTAATCCAAGCTTACAAAAGAAGAGTACGTTATTACCACTGCGTTTATATATTAGATCTTGGAAAAAAACCTATTAAAGTTGGTTTTCTTTTAATATGTGTTCAGAGTGCTGAATTTTTTCTTTAATGTATTAACTTGTTAGAATTGTTAAGTGTCTAACTTCACACTTCTGCAAAGTGCAGTTCCTGGGAACGGCAGATGCACATGAACTGTAGCTGTCAGCTTGCTGGCACTAGTTAAGTTTGTTCTTGGAATATTAGGCTGATATCTCTGCTTCGCATGTCTGCCAAGTCATATGTCCTTGTCTGAGATTGCTGTTATTACAGGAAAGACAAGAAAAGCAATATGATAGAATTCTTCTTGGACAAATTCTGTGCTAATGGATACTTCTGACAGTTCTGATGCTTTCCTGAAAAAGGAAAAAAAAAAAAAAGACTGCTTGCTTTGTGCCCAAAAGCAGTTACAGTAAATGCCTTATAAATCAGCCAAGCAATTCTGTTTAGTGCAAGGAGCAGACTTCTTGCAAGTACTAATGATGCTTCATAGTTGGAAGAATGAGCACATATATATGAGTGCAAGAAAACTGTCAGGGAAGGCTTTAGCTGTTCTAATTATGTAGTGTTTATGTAGAATTTCAGAATGGTGAAATAGAGCTGTAATACAGAAATTACTTAACTGCGTGTTGAGATTGAGCATTGAAGGGACTATAGGTAGTGGGAGGATAGCTGTACGACATAGGAAGAGAATCCTTATATGGTCTTTATCTCCAGCTTAGCCAAAGGATTTTTCACTTTGCTCTTGGCCTGGCTGTATCTTCCTCCTGGCCTCTGTTCTCTGTTGTTGCCCACAGCTGTCACTGCAACCTGAGTTCAACTGCCCCTTTGTTCATATTCACCGTGTCTCTCAGGACACCCTCCCACGTGGTTTTCCTGCAGTCCTTTTCTTTGGTACTGTGAAGAAACATAGTCCTGAATGTTCCAGGTCATTTGAGTCCTCCCTCTCTGTAAAGATACTGGGGTTTTTTTGTTTGGGGTTTTTTTTTTTTTTTGGTGGGGAATTACTAGGAGCTTTGTACTCCACATCTCTTAGGATCAAGGTAAATATTTCTGTTTCATTTGTTATTTAGTAAAATAATACTTCCTAACATCCAACTTGATTCAATTGCACAAATCTGGTAGTTTATTCTGCCGTCATCCTTGTTCTATTAAATAGCTGCTTTTCCCAGAGATTTTTTCTTTTAATCGGAGTTAATCTCCCCAGATGCTTGGTTGTATAACAGCATCCTGTATTTTTAGTGTACAATGCTACATAATGAATTTCTGAGAACAAGATTCATGTCTCTCTAAATCACAGAAACTGTCAGCATGGTAGAAGTCTTAGGAACCCAACATTAAATCCTTCATTTGGTGATTTTAAGTGTGTGAAGTCAGTTTGTGATCCAGATTTTTGTTAATTCTGGAGTTTCCTATTCCTAAGACAGACATTTCTCTTTGAATTTGTTCAGCTCAGGATCTTGGTTTCTGTATTACTAGAGCTGGAATAATCAAGGTTGATAACGAACCTAGAAAAATCCGTGTACACTGGATTGGGAGTATACCAGCTATTTTGTAGAAGTAAAATCTTAACAGGCTCTGTCCACCTTGAAAGTCAGCTGCTGTATCTTATCAGTGGTGTTCTTGAATGTGGCAAAGAGGTCTGGTGAAAAGAAAATATTTCTTTCCTATGCAGGCACCGCAGCTCTTCCTGCCAAATGAAGAGCGAAGCCTTAGGCTCTGTTGCTGCTACCAGGCCAGCTGCTGAGCCAGGACAATAGAGGCAGCCCTGTCCTCTCAAAAGGAATCGCTCTCGTGTAAAGTTAACTTTTGGCAGGAGGGCAGTACAGTAAGGAGGAAGAGAAGGGAAACCATGCAGTTTCACCAGTGCATCGAGTTGTTACAGTGATATCTTGCTTCCAGGCCACAGGGCCAGCTAGCTCTTTGCTTTCGGTGTTGAAGTGGAACAAATCTTGACAATGTGCTTACAAATGCATCAATGGAAGGGCTGATTTGTTCTAGTGTAGAAAAGAAGCCGTGTGATGTGGTGAATGGTTAGCATGGTGAGAAGGACTTACCAGTGAATTAGTAAACAGGATATGGAATAAATAAATTCAAGTTATGACTTCAGTCACAAGAGAGTTTTGAGTGACCTCAGAAAGTAAAGCAGCACTTTGAATTGCAAATGACAGGAGTCTGCTTGAATAAGCAATCTATGTCTCCTTTTGTATCCTTCAGGGAACGGCTGTCTTGGCTGGTCCTGCCTGATTCTGCCCTTAGGGACAATGTTGTGAATGGAGGCATTAAATACCTGTCAAACAAGGTAGTCTTAATTTGTCTGCTTTCACTAGTGTTATCTCCTTTTATTTCTCCATAGCTATTGGTGCCATATAAGAAATTCCATTCATCAGTTCTGATAATTTATAGTTCCACATCCTACAAAAATTCGTCCTATTTCTCCTTTTTTTTTTTGTTGTGGGGTGGTTTTTTTGTTGTTGTATCTGACAAAATATTTTTCATATTGGTGCTAACCTACTGGTCATTCCTATCAGAAAAGCAATTAGCAAATCTGTTGCTAGCTGCTAATTACATGTTTGAAATTAATTTCCATGTCTAGTTAGCCTGGTCCATACAAAGCAGCAGTCTAGTGACCTTATATGTTTTGTGTCTCTTTGATCTTTATGGTCTTGCTTGCTTTTGGTTAAGCACAGAATTGTATCTCCATCTTTCTCTTAGAGTAGTTCACTGGAGTCTGTTTCCAGAGTCTCTTTCCACTTAGACTTGCAGATTTAAGCTAGCAAAACATACCAGTCCTGTAACAGATTGTATTTTGTCCATGGTAGGTAACAGCTATGGGATCAAAAGTCTCGAAAGAATTGAAACACATCAGACATCACTTGCAGTTTAATTGGCTTCCCACTTAGCTGTGTAATGGTCTTAGTAAAAGCAAACAAAAAAAATATTTTCAAGGAAAAATGCAAAAAATCTCAATCATTGCTTTTCAGAAATGCATCGTCCTGATTGTCCCTGTTTCCCTCACAGCTTAGCATCTGAGTATCTGCATCCGATTTTGGTCCTCTCTAGTGTCAAAACATTGAACAGTACCAGAAAACGCTTTCCAGCCATAAACATAGGAAGTGCTATGGTGCAGAAGGGGAGGGCTGTGCACTTCTGTCTTCGTGTTTTTCAAACCCACATTTGTCTGTGTTTTTCAAAGGAAGACACAAGAGGAACCATTTAGATGATTGTGAGCAGCCTGCCAAAGTAGTGAGGATTTATTTTCCTAACTGCTCTGATGCCACGTTAACTACAAACATTTAGTTACAAAAGGATTTAGAAGGGGATACAGTATTATGCTGACTATTCTCAGAACCTGTTTTCCATTGTGTTTGCTGATGGCAGTTGTGTGTTCTCAAAACTACATTTGTCTTTCTATCTCAAAACATCTCTATCTTTTTTTCAGCTTTCATGAATCTTGATCTAAGCCTACAGATTTATTTTTTTTTAATGTGGCTGATCCTCAACCACTTTGAATCCATTGAAGTTGATCCAGTAAAAAATTGTGATAAATAACATTCGCACATACATAAATCAGGACAAAATATACAAGCAATCTTTCACGCTTTGGGCTATACGTTGATGGGTATTTACCTTTATAGACTGGCAACAATTTGCAGATAATCATTCACTGATTTATGTTCTCAGCTGAAGCAAATGGTGTTTAGCCTTCTGCTCCAATAGGGGCAAGTTATATATTCAGTGGGTTTATCTATGGATATTTTAGAGTCCCTGTTTTAGGATAGGCCCCTCTGTCTCTGCACAAAGTCAGAAAGGCGGGATAGATCTGCATTTCTGTTTTGTGGATAAAAAAGCTGGGAGTCTTTAAAAGAGGATGCTGTTTTTCTTTCGTCATACTAGAGGGGGGACTTCTGAAACCTTTAATTGTGCAGTAGTAAGTGGTTGAGGAGTTTTTGTCAAGTCAGCAGTAGAAGACAACTTGTAAGTGGTAGCTACTCCTGTATCACCTCCAGCAAGGTCTAGGAGCAGCTACCCAAGCACTGCTCTCTGGAGCTGAGGATTGTTTTGTTCTGTGCATCTTGGGCTGAGCACACTCCCTTCTTACTCAGGCTGTTCAAACTTTGTATTTTATTAATCTGAAGATTCCAAAGGAACAAGAAAAAAATATGTAAAGCTGTCAGTCATTATCCAGAAGGCTGGAATTTGCCTAAAACCAGAAATCCTTTTTTTTGGTAGTGTTGTCCATAATGCACAAAATCCGCAGCTTATTTCAAGTCGCAGGCAGGCAGTGTGTTACAAGACAGGGCATTTTGGTTAGTTTAGCTCTAATTGATTTGTCCTTTCATTAAATTAGCTCAGTTGTAGTTCATCATCCTAAACATATATTTTTTTCTTTAGCACCTAATGAATCTGTATGCCCACTTAACCTTCGTTTTCACTGACAACTCCAAAGATCTGCTTTTCCCAAATAGCTACAAATGCTTGTCTTGTTTGCTTCTCCCTCGGGGCAGTATCTTAGCAGGAACAAATGGGGTCAATTGGGCATACAGATCTGTTATGCAAATGTCTTGATGATTTCACTCGGATATTCAGTACAGCATCTTAAAAATAGGGCCGAAAGGGACCCTGGGAAGTAATTACAGTACCAGTCCATCTATTAGCAGAATCAGGTGTAGCCAGAGCATCCAGTTACCCATTTTATAGATGAAATGTTATGCATAAATGGATTATGTTGTGCATTAAATAACAGCATTTCTTCATTGTTGGAATTTATAATTTATTATAATATGTATTTTATATATATATATATTGCTTTCAGTTTTTCTGGATTTACAGCTATTCTCCAGGATTATTTTAAAGCAACAGAAAGGATGTTTTAAATCATAGTGGGTTGCCAGTGGAGCGAGGAGAGCAATACATCCATCCACAGGTGACTCTCAGTCATATAGCAACTGTCACCATGTTTGCTGCCTACTACTGCTCAGTCCTTAATTTGTGCCAACAGGGAAGGGGCTGTAATAAGGAGGAGAAATTTTGTATGCTGAT